TAAAATAATTAAAAAACAAAAACTGCCTAACATGGAACACACCACTCCACTAGGGTTCCTATTACGTGTTTATGGCATTTTAGTATTTAAAGAAAGTATCATTACATATGATTATAATTTCATTCTCTCATTTACCTAGTAAATACTTTAACTAATGAGGGTCAAAGAGGTTAAACGATTGATTAAGATTGCTCCTTAAGTGTGAAAATACTTACCTCATATTGCATTGCAGAACAATAAAATGTGTTGATAAAAGAAATTGGGCTTACCTTCTCCATCCTTGGTCCAGTTTTCATCTTCATCAAAGTGTGTGTCTCCACCCAGACCGAGACCAGGAGGAAACGCATGGCCCAGAACTCCCAAAGGGCCGTCAAAATGGCGAGGGCACCAACCATGGACTAAGACAATTCATGGGGGCGGTGATCAGCCACTTCAAACTTGTGGAGAAGACATAATTAGACCCTTTCTTCCCTGTTGAAAACTTTACCTCGGGTCCTAAAGGCAATCATGATGTCTGCAATCCCTTTGGAAACCTTGGTAAAGACCAGTGGGGTCACCTTGCTCCATACTTCCAGTGCTTTTTGGATAGCCTCATCCACATCAGCTCGTGCCATATCTGGCGTGTAGTTCATTATTCTGAACAATTAATGAAAACACATGAATTGATGGTTATACATGCATATACTACACATACTAGAAAAAGACAGTTGCTTCAGGTTTATCGATCCTATAGGGCAGGAACCTTGCAATGATGCTATTGTCTTACATCTGTATTTGAAAAAACCTAACCCTGGGCCCTAAAGTCAAGTTGCTTTGACTCAAAGCGAGCCCACAGGACAGAGTAGATCTGCTCCATCGGGCTTCCATGGCTGAATGTCCTTGTGGAAGCAGACTGCCTCATCTTTCTCCTGCAGAGCAGTTAGAGAGATTAAACCGCTGGCTTTTTTGTTCATAGCCTACCACGTTACTCCCCTGCACCACGAGGACTGCTATTGCTTGCATTGGTATAGCAGTATGGTATTTAAATAGTTTCTTTGCATATGCTGTATAATTTAGCCGTCTCATCTATTGGTAGATATTTTAATGAATGAGAGTCAAAGTGGTTCAATAATTGATTAGGATCGCCCCTTCAGTAGGAGGAGGCTTACCTCATGTATGTGTTTGCGGTGTGTATGAATGTGTTATAAAGCATTCGAGAAAGACTTGAGATGCTTTTTTCTCTAATGGTTTGTGGCTATCAGTCTTGAACATATATCATAGATTAAGATTCTCAAGAGTTAAAAAGTTATTCAGAAAAGTGATCTTCCTTCTCTTATTATTATATATAACAAATCATTTTATTGGGGGCTTGTACAACTCCCATCACAATCCACACACACATCCACTGTGTCAAGCACATCTGCACATCCATTGTCATCATCATCCCCCAAATACCCTCTTTCCACTTGAACCCCTGGCACCAGCTCCTCACTCCCTCCCACCCCATCTCATAAGCCCTTGATAATTTTTTTTTTTCAGCAAATGTGGTGAAGAAAGTTTATGGTGCCTGGTTGTCAAAAGATATGGCATCTGGGGTCTTAAAAGCTTGAAGATAAACAAGTGGCCATCTAGCTGAGAAGCAATAAAGCCCACATGGAAGAAGAACACCAGCCCGTGTGATCACGAGGTGTTGATGGGATCAGGTATCAGGCATCAAAGACCCAGAACAAAAAATCATGTCAATGTGAATTGGGGCGGGTGAGTGGGGGGAGTGTGGAGAAGAAACTCAAAGCCAATCTGTAGGCAATTGGACATCCCCTTACAGAAGGGTCACGGGGAGGAGATGGGCCAATCAGGGTGCAGTATAGTACCGATGAAACATACAGATTTACTCTGGTTCTTTAATGCTTCCTGCCCTCTCCCCACTATCATGACCCTAATTCTACCTTACAAATCTGGCTAGACCAGAGCATGTACATGGGTACAGAGAAGAGCTGTAAACACAGGGAATACAGGACAGATAAACTCTTCGGGACCAATATCGAGAGTAGCCATACCAGGAGGGGAAGGGGAAGGTGGGGGGAGAGAGAGGGAACCGATCACAATAACCCACATGTAACCCCCTCACTAGGAGGATGGACTACAGATTTTCCTTCTTTTGATGTGCCCCATTTTTGTTTCAACTCTTAAGGTGCACGAAGATGGAGAAAGACTCTTTAGGGCAAGAGGACTGTGGAGTGGGCGAGTGGGTGCATGATTTCTGGAAGCCCCTTCACCTTGGGTCAAGCCTACATTTCACCTCTTTCTGTATCTGCTTCCTCTTAATAGCAGTCGGTTTGGTTCTGCCCACAAGCTGGCTTCCTGTTTGTTGAGATGCCTGGGGCATCTCAGTGTTCACTCCAGAGGCCACCTGAGGGTTGACAGCTCTAACTCACCCACATTTCTAATGGGATTTGCTTGTGCTCCAAGTCCTGCCCATTTGGTCTTGAGCACATGTCACCGATGACCTTCAACCATCTAAAGTTTGATGGCACTGGTTCTGAACCCAAATTTATGCAGAAGAAGCAGACACTAGAGTTTATCCATTGAGTCAGAGCACCAAATATCCTTGGCTCAAGTTCCCCTGTGTTTTAGGCAGTGTTGACAGTTGTCAGTTGAAAGGATGGAATAAGTAAAATCCCCGAAGTATCACACACACAGGAAATGCTCAAAAACAACCCAGCAACTCACCACCATCGAGTCAACCCCAACTCATAGCAATCTTACAGGCTAGTGTGGACCAGTCCCTGGAGTTTTCCACAACAAGAACTCTACAAACCAGCTGTTTGAAATCCTATGGGGCACAGAGGTGCTCAGATACACACAGGGTTCCCATGGTGCAGCATTGACTTGACAGCAACTCTTTTTGCTCATCTAGTTTTGGCTTTGGTTTTTAAGCTGGCAGAAGCATTACCTGTATGTAAGGTTGTGTTTTCTCCACCCAGGTAGCGTGTAGCCATATTGGCCAACGTCGGGCACCCCACACCTGGGTTTCTTCATGATCTCAAGAGCGTTTGAGTCCAGTTTTCCAGTCACTGTCAATCCAAAAAATGCTTGCATCTCTCGGATTTTGCCAGCTAGGAGACTCCTGCTCTTGTTTTGTGCAAGATGACTCCCTTCTATTTCAAGAGAGTAGAACTGGTTGAGATATGCCTGATCAAAAAGACAAAAAAGGCACAGACTACACGAGAGCAAAACTGAAATTTCTGAGAAGACAAAATGACCTGACATCCTCTATGGTGGTAAGGAGGTAAGGAGGAAGTAAGGAGTGAGGGACAGGAAGGAGCGAGGGAGGAAAAAGGAAAAAGGAAAAGGGAATTAAAGAGGAAGAAAAGGTTCCTTGTTCTTTCAGTGTCCAAGTATTGGCTGAACTATGTGTGATCAGAATTAGCCAAACTACACAACACACAAAACTCCAAACCTCCATAGAGGAGAATCAAATTTCTACATCTTAAATGATGATACACACTTTGTACCCTTTACATATCTTTGCTGCTTCCTTTATTTTGGTGTTTCAATAAAAACACATTCTAGAAAACACAGCTGTGCATCCAATTAAAAACTGTATCCAATTTACACTAGTAAGTTTGTTGTGCAGATGAGCCCACTCCGCCATATTGAATTTCTGAGAATGTATTTAGAGGAAGAATTCTAATCCTAATTATACAATTAGAATTATTACACTCGGACACAGGAATCCATCAGCCTACCAAAGTCAGAGCTGAGGACTTCAGCTAAAATGTTCTCACACGAATCCAGAGCTTGGGGAACACAGAAACTGTCCTGCAGTCATCTGTTTGGTTAATTTTTGGTTGATGTCACAAGTGGGCTGGGTTACAAGTGGGACGGCTTCTCCTGGGCAACTGGATATGATGTCATTCTCATAAAAAATGTGAGTTGTGTTAGTGTTGTTTTTATAATCTGACTCATCCTCTCCACAAGTCCAGAAAACTGCAGGTGATCAGAACAATGGAAATTTTGGAAAGTAAGAAAAATGCAATAGAGAGCCTACTAAAAAGGCCTCCTTGTTCCTGACAGGACAGCTCAGGTTCACTGCATGGGGACAAATTTGACGTGTGTTGCTGTGGCCTTTGACAAGGAAATGTTTTAATTCCCTGTGAATACTTGAAAATAATACATTTATACAAAATACCTGTAAATCATGTTTATAACCATTAGCAGGTGCTCATTGGATAGAATCTCTTTAGCATTCCCCTGTTGGCCTGGTGGAAAAGGATATTTTTGAGGTGGAGGTGGAGGGTGATATATTCTAAGCAGGCAGAACACTGGCCATTTGATCTCCAGCTTCCTGAAATTGCCCCTACAGACATTTCCTTCAGGTGGTTACCATCTTCTTCCCCCTCAGGTGCGTGTTTCGTGGAAGATGATGACAGCAGGAATTTGTAAGTTCTCAGGAATAACAACAGGTTTAATGTTGCCTTTTTCATAATGTTGCCTTTTTGTTTACTAGTTTTGTTTACTGGTAATTGTTCTGTTTTTAATTTAGAAGCATATTTGTAGTGGCAGGCTAATATCTTGCCGAATATGCTAACATCAGGACCTCATCTGAGTCCATAACCATCTTACTCTTGGGTATTTCCATGTTGCTTTTTTTTTTTTTTCTGTAAGTGTGGCATTTGCCGCAGATAGAAGTTTGCTGGGCAATGGCGTACAGGAAGGTCTGTATAGTCTGCTATCAGGAGAGAACAGAGAAGGCCGTTACATGTGGTAAAGTGGAGGGGCAGCCAAAAGGAGGAAGGTCCTTGATGAGATGTGGTTACAACAATGGGCTCAAAAATAAACAAAAACAATTGTGAGGATGGCACAAGACCAGGTGCTGTTCTGTTCTGTGGCACACAGGGGCACTATGGGTTGGAACCAACTCGATGGCACCTAACAACAACAACAACACAATAATCTATGCAAAAAATACCATTTTTAAAACTAGTAGGCTGTCTAAAGAAGTGCTGCCGTTGAGAATACATAAGTGCTTGATTGTGGCCCAAAGTTCCCGACATGCCCAAACGTCTTTCATCACATGAAACACTTTATCACCAGACACATCTTTTGTGTTCGTCATACAAATTTGAAGTGAGGACATCCGTAAACAAATTGGCAGGACAGGTTTATTGTCAGAGTTTATTTACAACTTGTAGGTGGGTCTTGATTCAAAATGCACTGCCGTTCGGTTGATTCTGCTTCAGAGCGACCCTACATCAGAGTCCCAAGGCTGTAAGTCTTTACAGGAACTAATTAGTCCATCTTTTTCTTGAGGAGGAACTGGTGGGTTTGGACTACTGACCTTGAGCTTAGGAGCTGTGCCATGAGGGCTACTGTAGTTTGGAAACTACTTTTAAGTTGAACTATATAAAATATATACGTGGTTGTTAGAATGAACTAACTTTATGCCTCAGTGGTGCAGTCGGTTACACAGTGGACTGCCAATGGAAAAGCTAGCAGTTTGAAACGACCAGCCACTCTACAGGAGAAAGATGAGGCTGTCTACTCCCGTAAAGGTTTATAGTCTTGCAAACCCCAAAGGGCAGTTTTACTCCGTCTGATAGCGTCACCATGAGTCGGAATCAACTGCAGTGAGTCTGATGTCTTTTGAGTTTGAGCAACTTTTAGAATTAGCTAGTGTGGGAAACAGAAGCATTTGTCCCAAGTTGTCTCCCCCAAATACATGCCAAACTTAGCTGCTTGCTACACGTGGTGAATGACTATACACTTGAAGGCCAACAGAAGTAGGTCAGGGGTTATTCTCCCTAAGGGTTATCAGCCATCCAGAGCAAGCAGTCACCACTGCTTATCCCACAACAAGGAGGACCCACTCCCTTCTGATAAGGATAGTAGTTGACTGTTTTCTTGGAGGAGACCCCAAGAGGTCAAGCTCACCCAAGGGTAACCAAGGTTAGGCTGCCATTATCCATCTAGGGCCCGCCCATCTTGTCACATGTATACCTGTAGTCCCTTCCATTCCTATGTGCACACCCCTAGCTCATCCCCTTCCTATCATGCTTATGCCTATCGTACCTCCCCTTCCTATGATGTGTATGCCTATTGTACTGCCCCTTCCTGTGATGTGTGGTTGCCTGTAATCATGCCCACCCCCCTAAGTAATGATAAGTGTTGGATAGCAATAAAGTTGGCCGGCTCTTGCTTTCGGAGGTCTCCCCACGAGGACGAAGCGGGGCTGAGGTGAGTGTGCTACCATGCATTGTGCCTGACTCCATG